AGGGGTGTGACATAGGTGTCCATGCATGGGATTACAAAGGGTGAGACACGGGAGCCCATGCATTGGGACGCAAGAGGTAAGACACAGGAACCTAGATATTGCACACAAGGGGTGTGACATAGGTGTCCATGCATGGGGTTACAAAGGGTGAGACACGGGAGCCCATGCATTGGGACGCAAGAGGTAAGACACAGGAACCCAGATATTGCACACAAGGGGTGGGACATAGGTGTCCATGCATGGGGTTACAAAGGGTGAGACACAGGAGCCCATGCATTGGGACGCAAGAGGTAAGACACAGGAACCCAGATATTGCACACAAGGGGTGTGACATAGGTGTCCATGCATGGGGTTACAAAGGGTGAGACACAGGAGCCCATGCATTGGGACGCAAGAGGTAAGACACAGGAACCCAGATATTGCACACAAGGGGTGTGACATAGGTGTCCATGCATGGGGTTACAAAGGGTGAGACACGGGAGTCCATGCATTGGGACGCAAGAGGTAAGACACAGGAACCTAGATATTGCACACAAGGGGTGTGACATAGATGTCCATGCATGGGGTTACAAAGGGTGAGACACGGGAGCCCATGCATTGGGACGCAAGATGTAAGACACAGGAACCCAGATATTGCACACAAGGGGTGTGACATAGGTGTCCATGCATGGGGTTACAAAGGGTGAGACACAGGAGCCCATGCATTGGCACGCAAGATGTAAGACACAGGAACCCAGATATTGCACACAAGGGGTGTGACATAGGTGTCCATGCATGGGGTTACAAAGGGTGAGACACGGGAGCCCATGCATTGGGACGCAAGATGTAAGACACAGGAACCCAGATATTGCACACAAGGGGTGTGACATAGGTGTCCATGCATGGGGTTACAAAGAGTGAGACACGGGAGCCCATGCATTTGGACGCAAGATGTAAGACACAGGAACCCAGATATTGCACACAAGGGGTGTGACATAGGTGTCCATGCATGGGGTTACAAAGGGTGAGACACGGGAGTCCATGCATTGGGACGCAAGAGGTAAGACACAGGAACCTAGATATTGCACACAAGGGGTGTGACATAGGTGTCCATGCATGGGGTTACAAAGGGTGAGACACTGTAGCCCATGCATTGGGACGCAAGAGGTAAGACACAGGAACCTAGATATTGCACACAAGGGGTGTGACATAGGTGTCCATGCATTGTGTTACAAAGGGTGAGACACGGGAGCCCATGCATTGGGACGCAAGAGGTAAGACACAGGAACCCAGATATTGCACACAAGGGGTGTGACATAGGTGTCCATGCATGGGATTACAAAGGGTGAGACACAGGAGCCCATGCATTGGGACGCAAGAGGTAAGACACAGGAACCCAGATATTGCACACAAGGGGTGTGACATAGGTGTCCATGCATGGGGTTACAAAGGGTGAGACACGGGAGCCCATGCATTGGGACGCAAGAGGTAAGACACAGGAACCCAGATATTGCACACAAGGGGTGTGACATAGGTGTCCATGCATGGGGTTACAAAGGGTGAGACACGGGAGCCCATGCATTGGGACGCAAGAGGTAAGACACAGGAACCCAGATATTGCACACAAGGGGTGTGGCATAGGTGTCCATGCATGGGGTTACAAAGGGTGAGACACGGGAGTCCATGCATTGGGACGCAAGAGGTAAGACACAGGAACCTAGATATTGCACACAAGGGGTGGGACATAGGTGTCCATGAATGGGGTTACAAAGGGTGAGACACGGGAGCCCATGCATTGGGACGCAAGAGGTAAGACACAGGAACCTAGATATTGCACACAAGGGGTGTGACATAGGTGTCCATGCATGGGATTACAAAGGGTGAGACACGGGAGCCCATGCATTGGGACGCAAGAGGTAAGACACAGGAACCTAGATATTGCACACAAGGGGTGTGACATAGGTGTCCATGCATGGGGTTACAAAGGGTGAGACACGGGAGCCCATGCATTGGGACGCAAGAGGTAAGACACAGGAACCCAGATATTGCACACAAGGGGTGGGACATAGGTGTCCATGCATGGGGTTACAAAGGGTGAGACACAGGAGCCCATGCATTGGGACGCAAGAGGTAAGACACAGGAACCCAGATATTGCACACAAGGGGTGTGACATAGGTGTCCATGCATGGGGTTACAAAGGGTGAGACACAGGAGCCCATGCATTGGGACGCAAGAGGTAAGACACAGGAACCCAGATATTGCACACAAGGGGTGTGACATAGGTGTCCATGCATGGGGTTACAAAGGGTGAGACACGGGAGTCCATGCATTGGGACGCAAGAGGTAAGACACAGGAACCTAGATATTGCACACAAGGGGTGTGACATAGGTGTCCATGCATGGGGTTACAAAGGGTGAGACACGGGAGCCCATGCATTGGGACGCAAGATGTAAGACACAGGAACCCAGATATTGCACACAAGGGGTGTGACATAGGTGTCCATGCATGGGGTTACAAAGGGTGAGACACAGGAGCCCATGCATTGGCACGCAAGATGTAAGACACAGGAACCCAAATATTGCACACAAGGGGTGTGACATAGGTGTCCATGCATGGGGTTACAAAGGGTGAGACACGGGAGTCCATGCATTGGGACGCAAGAGGTAAGACACAGGAACCCAGATATTGCACACAAGGGGTGTGACATAGGTGTCCATGCATGGGGTTACAAAGGGTGAGACACGGGAGCCCATGCATTGGGACGCAAGAGGTAAGACACAGGAACCCAGATATTGCACACAAGGGGTGTGACATAGGTGTCCATGCATGGGGTTACAAAGGGTGGGACACAGGAGCCCATGCATTGGGACGCAAGATGTAAGACACAGGAACCCAGATATTGCACACAAGGGGTGTGACATAGGTGTCCATGCATGGGGTTACAAAGGGTGAGACACGGGAGTCCATGCATTGGGACGCAAGAGGTAAGAATCAGGAACCCAGATATTGCACACAAGGGGTTTGACATAGGTGTCCATGCATGGGGTTACAAAGGGTGAGACACGGGAGCCCATGCATTGGGACGCAAGAGGTAAGACACAGGAACCCAGATATTGCACACAAGGGGTGTGACATAGGTGTCCATGCATGGGGTTACAAAGGGTGAGACACGGGAGTCCATGCATTGGGACGCAAGAGGTAAGACACAGGAACCCAGATATTGCACACAAGGGGTGTGACATAGGTGTCCATGCATGGGGTTACAAAGGGTGAGACACGGGAGCCCATGCATTGGGACGCAAGATGTAAGACACAGGAACCCAGATATTGCACACAAGGGGTGTGACATAGGTGTCCATGCATGGGGTTACAAAGAGTGAGACACGGGAGCCCATGCATTGGGACGCAAGATGTAAGACACAGGAACCCAGATATTGCACACAAGGGGTGTGACATAGGTGTCCATGCATGGGGTTACAAAGGGTGAGACACAGGAGCCCATGCATTGGGACGCAAGAGGTAAGACACAGGAACCCAGATATTGCACACAAGGGGTGTGACATAGGTGTCCATGCATGGGGTTACAAAGGGTGAGACACAGGAGCCCATGCATTGGGACGCAAGAGGTAAGACACAGGAACCCAGATATTGCACACAAGGGGTGTGACATAGGTGTCCATGCATGGGGTTACAAAGGGTGAGACACGGGAGTCCATGCATTGGGACGCAAGAGGTAAGACACAGGAACCTAGATATTGCACACAAGGGGTGTGACATAGGTGTCCATGCATGGGGTTACAAAGGGTGAGACACGGGAGCCCATGCATTGGGACGCAAGAGGTAAGACACAGGAACCCAGATATTGCACACAAGGGGTGTGACATAGGTGTCCATGCATGGGGTTACAAAGGGTGAGACACAGGAGCCCATGCATTGGGACGCAAGAGGTAAGACACAGGAACCCAGATATTGCACACAAGGGGTGTGACATAGGTGTCCATGCATGGGGTTACAAAGGGTGAGACACGGGAGTCCATGCATTGGGGCGCAAGAGGTACGACACAGGAACCCAGATATTGCACACAAGGGGTGTGACATAGGTGTCCATGCATGGGGTTACAAAGGGTGAGACACGGGAGCCCATGCATTGGGACGCAAGATGTAAGACACAGGAACCCAGATATTGCACACAAGGGGTGTGACATAGGTGTCCATGCATGGGGTTACAAAGGGTGAGACACGGGAGCCCATGCATTGGGACGCAAGATGTAAGACACTGGAACCCAAATATTGCACACAAGGGGTGTGACATAGGTGTCCATGCATGGGGTTACAAAGGGTGAGACACGGGAGTCCATGCATTGGGACGCAAGAGGTAAGACACAGGAACCCAGATATTGCACACAAGGGGTGTGACATAGGTGTCCATGCATGGGGTTACAAAGGGTGAGACACAGGAGCCCATGCATTGGGACGCAAGAGGTAAGACACAGGAACCCAGATATTGCACACAAGGGGTGTGACATAGGTGTCCATGCATGGGGTTACAAAGGGTGAGACACGGGAGTCCATGCATTGGGACGCAAGATGTAAGACACAGGAACCTAGATATTGCACACAAGGGGTGTGACATAGGTGTCCATGCATGGGGTTACAAAGGGTGAGACACGGGGGCCCATGGATTGGGACAAAAAGGATGAGACATGGAGGTGAGGCGTTGTGACACAAGAGGTGAGACTCGGTAGCCCTGGTAATACGACACAAGAGGTGAGACTCGGTAGCCCCGATTCGGGGACACAAGGGTCGAGACAATTTAGCTCATGTATTAGGGAACAAAGGGTGAGACACGGGAGCCAAGACATTGCGACTGAATGGGTAAGACACGGGAGCCCATCCTTTTGGACACAAGAGGTAAGACACGATAGTTCATCCTTTGGGCCAAACTTCGCCTAGTTTGTGACCTGCGCGCTGTGCACAAGGATATAGGTGTGGTTTGTTCCTTGAATTTCCCATACGCCACGCATTGTTTTGATTGAGAGTTGTATTTGATACATGTGGGACGTATTGGATATAAGCAACACTTAGACACGAGGTGTCAGACAGGTAGTTACGTGCAGATAACATCTCTGGATCAATGTGTTCTGCATGATGTATTTGTACGTGTTTATGGCGTGCGCACTTACTTATATCTCGGTGTAATTCTGACCTACATATTGTCTCAGCTACTCGGAAGTAAAATACCCCTTGAGTACGTTCACTTCAGGTGACATCGCCGTGTGTGTGAGTGGAGGACAGTCAGTGTTGCAGCTATCATGTTTACCTGTGGATATCTCAAATACATTTCACTTCTGATTCTGGTGAATGTCGGACAGATTCCTCGTACAGGTAAGGGAACTGTTAACTTTGATCACAACTGCAGGTTCAACCGTTTGTCTATGTTATAGTGATAGTATATATACATTACATTTCATACAGCTGATAAACGATGGCGATGAGTCTGATATTTACATTTACTTCCTCGGTGAAACACGATGTGCTCCACGGCTTCGGCGCTGATAGACCAGGGATTGTAATCAGAAACCCGAATTCACAAAAAAAAGCAAAGTCACTAACATGCTAGCATAACTATCGCCGCAAAAGTAAATGTTCGTGTATACTAAACAAAAATGTAATACCACTCCGACGCTCATACAGTTTGGCCTTCACTCTATGAAGATTCTTTCTCAAATGAACTCACAAAGTGAAAGACAATTCTTAAATCTGTGTGTGTGTGTTTTGTATATGTGTGTGTGTTTTTGTGTGTGTATGTGCATATATGTGTGTATGTGTGTTTGTGTGTGTTTGTGTCTTTATGAGTGTGTGTGCTTTTCTGTGTGTGTTTGTATGTATGTGTATGTGTGTGTTTGTGTGTATATGTTGTTGTTTTTTGTGTATATGTATGTGTTGGTTTGTGTGTGTATGTCTATGCATGGGTGTATGTGAGTGTGTGTTTGTGTGTATGTGAATGTGTGTATATGTTTTGTGTATGTATATGTGTATGTGTGAGATTGTGTGTGTATGTGTGTATGTGTGCATTTTTGCGTGTTTGTGTATGTGTGTGTTGATATTTGTTTATGTATGTTTTTTTATAAATGTGTGTGTGTTTGTGTGTTTGCGTGTATTTATGTATGTGTGTGTTTGTGTGTGTATGTGCAGGTGTGTGTATTGTGTGTAATTTTGTGTTTTTGTGTGTATATGTGTTTTTGTGTGTGTGTTTGTGTATGTGTATGTGTCTGTTTTGTGTATGTGTGTCTGCGTGTATTCATGTATGTGTGTGTGTGTGTGTTTGTGTGTATGTGTGTGTGTCTGTGTGCGTATGTGCATGTATGTGTATGTGTGTGTATTTGTATATATACATGTGTGGATGTGTGTTTGTGTATGTCTGTGTATTTTTGTGAGTGTGTGCTTTTCTGCGTTTGTTTGTATGTATGTGTATATGTGTGTTTGTGTGTATATGTTTGTTTGTGTGTGTGTATGTCTATGTGTTGGTTTGTGCGTGTGTGTTTGTGTGTAAGTGCATGCGTATGTATATGTTTTGTGTATGTTTATGTGTGTATGTGTGATATTGTGTGTGTATGTATGCATGTATGTGTGTATATGTGTTTTTGCGGGTTTGTGTATCTGTGTGTTCATGTATGTTCATGTATGTGTTTGTGTGTGTGTTTGTATGTGTATATGTGTGTGTATGTGTATTTGCGTGTTTTCATGTATGTATGTATGTGTGTCTTTGTGTGTTTATGTGCAAGTGTATGTATTGTGTATAGTTTTGTGTTTTTGTGTGTATATGTGGTTTTTTTGTGTTTGTGTGTGTGTGTGTGTGGTTGTTAGTGTATGTGTGTGTTTATGTGTGTATGTTTGTGTGTATATATGTGTTTGTGACTTTTTCACAGAGATACACTGCTCCACTAAGATACAGTATTCTTACGCTCAGCCGACCAGTCCTTGTTTTATCCTCTTGATTCTGACCGTCTCCGGACAGGCGCTATGTCCACTAGACCATCGAGGCGGTCCTTGATATGGCAGGTTTACCAAGTTTGGTGTTGGTACCCTTTCATTTCCCAGCCATCTAAGGCGCTACAATTCGCTGTGCAGAGTTATGTTGTTTGAGCACCCAAGAAACCTATGATCGAGGATTAGAAACCTGGTTCGCCCCTATTTTGTTCCTAGGTTTGTCTACATTATATCAGTGCTCGCGTGTAAACGTCCGAGACTTGCATCACTTCGGGTTTTCCGCTCATATTAAGCTGACACGCCGTGAAATAATGTTCAAGGCGGTGTTAAACCAAACGTCTGTCTGTCTGTTTTTATAAAGACATTACTACACACTCGTCCCCGTAAGATATCGTTCTTATTACTCGTGTATTTCCAATGTTTCGTTATATACGTTTTGAAACAAACTCCAGCTGTAAGAAAACTGCATCTAACGGGGACTCATCTAATAATTTATATATACATTATACATGATTGTATACATTCTGTGCCACACTATCTATCTATATGACATAATCTCAAGATAATCAATTCACAATCAATGTGTCGATCAAGAGAGTGAATATTCACAAATGCTCAAATTGTTGTGAGCGAAAACGACTTGTGAACAAATACCTAGTGTAGATTCAATTTACGTGTATTGCACTGTTTCAGGGTCAGCTCCAGTTCTTGTCACCAACAGACGTGTTCCTGTGGAGGGTGTCAGTTTCCGCATCACCTGTACACTAGATGCAGCTCTCAGTGGAACTGTCTACTTCTATAAGGATACTTCTATCCAGGGCAGCTGCTCATCACCAGGCAGCTGTGGGACACCTGTCTCAGGATACTCTGTGAGTCTGGACAGTACATTCAGGATCCTGACTCTAGACATCGCATCACCAGATTCCACCAGAGACAGCGGGACATGGAGTTGTACTGTTGGTGCCACAGTGTCAAATAACATCGCGCTGTCGCAGTTTGCAGGTGGGTTACATTTGTTTTAATCACGCGGTGATCAATGGAAACAATCAAATTATGCATACATTTGGAACTAACGTGAATATAAATCTAATTGGAGATCCGACAACGCGTCATAACTTACAGGAAAGTTAAAGTTCATGTGGGGTGAACACACAAATGAAAACATTTTTGAGAACGGGAAATATTTCTAAGCTATTAAGTCCCTAATGCAACTGTTAAAAAATACACTGTTACCCTCCCCTACCCGCCATCCAAACCTTAATTTATTTTGTTTTTATCAAGTCGGGGATATCACACAAATCACTTACAAGACAGCAACTTTACTGACGTAAAGTAAAAATGAACAGAAAAAAATTCTCCCACATCAAATTGGCACACGACATGAAATAACTGGGTTACTTGTCATAACGGTGTTATACTCCACTCAGTCCCGCGCTCAGTTCTACGAGTCCTTGTCAATAGAACAGATGTACAAAACCTTACACATATTGCCATTGTTATGACATATATGTCGTCTTGAATGTTTATATTTAATAATATCAGTTTGAAAGTTCTAGTCAGATGGTGAAGTACTCAGATCGGCCACATAGTGTAGTCCTGTGTTGATACCTAATCTTGATTGGCTGGACTGTGTGAACTTTCAAGACGTGTACATGTCTCCATCAGAATCCTCATTGTATCATTCCTTCTTACAAGCTGTCCTGGACTGGAGCTCTGTGACATTCTCTCCACAACTGACTTCTCTCCCGTCCTCCGTGACCCCACAGAACACCATCTCCATCACACTGACCATCCCGTGTGCTGCCCCTGCCGCCGTCATCACATGGAGATACCAACAGGTGCGGCAATCTATGTTCATCTTGATGGCTTCACTCATCTTGTATGATTGGTTTCATTGACATAGTGTAATACCATGTATATGGTCCTTTCCTCTTTAGCTCACCGTGACATCGTTCATGCCTGTTTCTGCTTTGGGCCCGTCCGCCCAAAATAAACTTTCTTTTCCTCATCTACTTACCAACACTACTTACCTTCTTATCAACATCATTTTCACACAACATGTTTTACATATATCTAGCCACAACGAATTAAACCACTGAATCATTAAAAAAAAATATTTGACCCTCAACGCAGCTCGGTTGATGTAAACAAGTAGTTTTCATGCTAAGCTCTTATCCTGCTAAGAACCGCGATAGCTTGAGATCTGTAATGACCTCCTCCTCAACTCTCCTCCTCTCCAACTAACCTCTAACCCCCCCTCTCCTCACCTCTTATCCATCCTCCATACCCCTCAACCCCTCCCTCTCGCCTATCATCACCTCCTCCTCACCTCTCATCACCTCCTCCTCACGTCTCGTCCCCTCCTCCTCACATTTCCTCCTCTCCTATCATCACCTCCTCCTCACCTCTCCCCTCCCCTCACCTCTAACCCCTCCTCACCTCTCATCTCCTCCTCCCTTTTCCTCCTTCCTCATCACCTCCTCTTCACCTCTCACTGCTCCTCTTCACCTCTCATTCCATCCTCCTCACCTCACACTACCTCCTGCTTACCTCTCACCTCTTTTCTCTCCTCCTCACCTCTCATCACCTCCTCCTCACCTCACATCTCCCCCAGACTTCTCATCACCTCCCCCTCACCTCTCGTCCCGTCCTCCTCACCTCATACCCAATCCTCCTCATCCCTTATCCTCAATACTCATCTCTTATCTCTCACCGCCTCCTCCACACATTTCACTCACTTCTCCTCACCTCTCACCAACTCCTCCTCACCTCTCACCCCTCCTCCTCACCTCTCACCCAGTCCTCCTCACCTCTCATCTCCTCCTCCCTTCTCGCCCTTCCTCATCACCTCTTCCTCACCTCTCACCGCTCCTCTTCACCTCTTATTCCATCCTCCTCAACTCACACTTCCTCTTGCTCACCTCTCACCTTTTTTCTCTCCTCCTCACCTCTCCTCACCTCCTCCTCACCTCACCTCTCCCCCAGACTTCTCATCACCAACCCTCACCTCTCATCCCATCCTCCTTACCTCATACCCAATCCTCCTCATCCCTTATCCTCACTTCTCATCTCTTATCTCTCACCGCCTCCTCCACACGTTTCACTCACTTCTCCTCACCTCTCACCAACTCCTTCTCACCTCTCATCCACCCATCTTCACCTCTTATCCCATCCTCCTCTCCTCTAATCACCTCCTCCGTACCTCTCATCCCCGATCCACACCTCTCATCCCCATTCTCCTCTCCTCTAATCACCTCCTCACCTCTCATCCCCCATCCACACCTCTTATCCCATCCTCCTCACCTCTCATCCCCTCCTCCTAACCTCTAATCACCTCCTCCTCACCTCTCATCCCCCATCCACACCTCTAATCCACTCCTCTTCACCTCTCATCCCCTCCTCCTCACCTCTCATCCCATCCTCTTCACCTCTCATCCCCTCCTCCTAACCTCTAATCACCTCTTCTTCACCTCCCATCCCTCATCCAAACCTCTCATCCCATCCTCCTCACCTCTCATTCCCTGCTCCTTCAATCATACCCACTCCTCCTCACCTCACACCTCTCTTGTCTCCTCCTCACCTTTCATCATCTCCTCCTCACCTCCATTCCCCTCCTCCTCACATCACGCCTCCTCCTGCTCACTTCTTACTTCTCATCAACTCCTCCTCACCTCTCATCTCCTCCTCCCTTTTCGCCCTTCCTCATCACCTCCTCCTCACCTCTCACCGCTCCTCTTCACCTAACATTCCATCCTCCTCACCTCCAATCATGAGATCGGTCATGACCTCCTCCTCAAATTTCCTCCTCGCCAACTTACCTCTTACTCCCCTTCCTCACCTCTTATCCCTCCCCCTCACCTCTCAACACCTCATCCTCACGTCCCGTTCCCTCCTCCTTACATTTCCTCCTCTCCTATCATCACCTCCTCCTCACCTCTCCCCTCACCTCTAACCCCTTCTCAATTTTCTCTCCTCCTCAACACCTCTCACCTCTCACCCCCTCCTAGCTCCTTCCCCCTCGCCGACTTTCACCCCCTCCTCCTCACCTCTCATCCCCTATACACACCTCTCATTCCATCCTCCTCACCTCTCATCCCATCCTCCTCGCATCATAACCACTCCTCCTCACCTCTCACCCTCTCCTCTTCACATCACACCTCTCTTCTCTCCTCCTCATCTTTCCTCCACCCCTCTTCAACTCTGATCCCCTCCTCCTCTCCTCTTATCACCTCCTCCGTACCTCTCATCCCCGATCCACACCTCATCCCCTCCTCCTCTCCTCTAATCACCTCACCACCTCTCATCCCCCATCCACACCTCTCATCCACTCCTCTTCACCTCTCACCCCCTCCTCCTAACCTCTCATCCCATCCATTTCAAATCTCATCCCCTCCTCCTATCCTCTAATCACCTCTTCTTCACCTCCCATCCCTCATCCACACCTCTCATCCCATCCTCCTCACCTCTCATTCCATGCTCCTTGAATCATACCCACTCCTCACCTCACACCTCTCTTGTCTCCTGCTCACCTTTTATCATCTCCTCCTCACCTCCAATCCCCTCCTCCTCACATCACGCCTCCTCCTACTTACCTCTTACTTCTCATCAACTCCTCCTCACCTCTCATCTCCTCCTCCCTTCTCGCCCTTCCTCATCACCTCCTCCTCACCTCTCACCGCTCCTCTTCACCTCTCATTCCATCCTCCTCACCTCCAATCATGAGATCTGTCATGACCTCCTCCTCAAATTTCCTCCTCGCCAACTTACCTCTTACTCCCCCTCCTCACCTCTTATCCCTCCCCCTAACCTCTCAACCCCCCCCCCCCCCCCCCCCTCACCTCTCAACACCTCATCCTCACGTCCCGTCCCCTCCTCCTCACATTTCCTCCTCTCCTAGCATCACCTCCTCCTCACCTCTTCCCTCACCTCTAACCCCTTCTCACTTTTCTCTCCTCCTCAACACCTCTCACCTCTCAGCACCTCATAGCTCCTTCCCCCTCGTCGACTCTCACCCCCTCCTCCTCACCTCTCATCCCATCCTCCTCGCATCATACCCACTCCTCCTCACCTCTCACCCTCTCCTCTTCACATCACACCTCTCTTCTCTCCTCCTCATCTTTCCTCCACCCCTCCTCACCTCTCATCCACCCCTCTTCACCTCTGATCCCCTCCTCCGTACATCTCATCCCCGATCCACACCTCTCATCCCCTCCTCATCTCCTCTAATCACCTCCTTACCTCTCATCCCCCATCCACACCTCTCATCCACTCCTCTTCACCTCTCATCCTTTCCTCCTAAACTCTCATCCCATCCTCCTCACCTCTCATCCCTTCCTCCTAACCTGCTCACCTCTCCACACCTCTCACCCACTCCTCTTCACCTCTCATCCCCTCCTCCTAACCTCTCATTCCATCCTCTTCACCTCTCATCCCCTCCTCCTAACCTCTAATCACCTCTTCTTCACCTTCCATCCCTCATCCACACCTCTCATCCCATCCTCCTCACCTTTCATTCCATGCTCCTTGAATCATACCCACTCCTCCTCACCTCACACCTCTCTTGTCTCCTCCTCACCTTTCATCATCTCCTATCATCACCTCCTCCTCACCTCTCCTCTCACCTCTAACCCCTTCTCACTTTTCTCTCCTCCTCAACACCTCTCACCTCTCATCCCCTCCTAGCTCCTTCCCCCTCGTCGACTCTCACTCACTCACCCTCTCCTCTTCACATCCCACCTCTCTTCTCTCCTCCTCATCTTTCCTCCACCCCTCTTCATCTCTTATCCACCCCTCTTCACCTCTTATCCCCTCCTCCTCTCCTCTAATCACCGCCTCCGTACCTCTCATACCCGATGCACACCTCTCATTCCCTCCTCCTCTCCTCTTATCACCTCCTCACCTCTCATACCCCATCCACACCTCTCATCCACTCCTCTTCACCTCTCACCCCTCCTCCTAACCTCTCATCCCATCCTCCTCGCGTCTCATCCCCTCCTCCTAACCTTTAATCACCTCCTCCTCACCTCTCACCCCCCATCCACACCTCTCACCCATTCCTCTTCACCTCTCACCCCCTTCTCCTAACCTCTCATCCCATCCTCTTCACCTCTCATCCCCTCCTCCTAACCTCTAATCACCTCTTCTTCACCTCCCATCCCTCATCCACACCTCTCATCCCATCCTCCTCACCTCTCATTCCATGCTCCTTTAATCAAACCCACTCCTCCTCACCTCACACCTCTCCTGTCTCCTCCTCACCTTTCATCATCTCCTCCTCACCTCCAGTCCCCTCCTCCTCACATCAGGCCTCCTCCTCACCTCTTACTTCTCATCAACTCCTCCTCACCTCTCATCTCCTCCTCCCTTCTCGCCCTTCCTCATCACCTCCTCCTCACCTCTCACCTCTCCTCTTCACCTAACATTCCATCCTCCTCACCCCCCTTCATGAGATCGGTCATGACCTCCTCCTCAAATTTCCTCCTCGCAAACTTACCTCTTACTCCCCCTCCTCACCTCTTATCCCTCCCCCTTACCCCTCGACCCCCATCCCCCTCTCCTCTCAACACCTCATCCTCACGTCCCGTCCCCTCCTCCTCACATTTCCTCCTCTCCTAGCATCACCTCCTCCTCACCTCTCCCCTCACATCTAACCCCTTCTCACTTTTCTCTCCTCCTCAACACCTCTCACCTCTCACCCCCTCCTAGCTCCTTCCCCCTCGTAGACTCTCACCCCCTCCTCCTCACCTCTCATCCCATCCTCCTCGCATCATACTCACTCCTCCTCACCTCTCACCCTCTCCTCTTCACATCACACCTCTCTTCTCTCCTCCTCATCTTT